TCACAAGATTAAACAATTTCATGAAAAAATTTCATAAGATTAAACAATGAAATCGACAGATGAAGGTGGTTTGCACGGTTTACACAAATGAGGACGGTTTTCATATGATCACTCATATATATATATATATATATATATATATATATATATAAAGAGAGAGAGTAGACGTTTCAAATACAACATATCTCATTTGCACAATCAATTAATTAAGATATTTATGGAAATAATAAATCAAATACCTTATTTTTATACATAAATTGTAAAAATAACTAATTCTTTTAACAATAAGCCATTTAAATCAAGCATATAAAAATGATATTTTGTAATTATCTTTCACAGAAGTCGATTGTGTTTCCTAAAAGAGACAAACGAGTAAAAGTAGAGGGATCAAACTGTAAGAAATTAATGCAGTTTATCATTGGGTTTTACCAACAAATGACAAGACAAAATAATGGCACCTTGTAAGATCAATAGAACTTCAAGGGTAAAAAGTGTTCAATCCATGTGCCAATCTCTAATCCAATCAACAAAAAAACATTAAAAATGATGGGATCTTTGAACACTAAGGGTTTGTTTGTTTATCTCTTAATAGTTTCATTAAAAAACAACCTTTCAATTGTTAAAATGTGAATCTTGTTTGACAAAAAAAGTCTGTCTTTTAATGGTTTTAAAATCATCTGGATGATTTTGTATCTTGTGTCTCTCTTAACCATTAAGAGCCCTAATTTCATTGTATACAATTGCCAAACAATTATATTTCATTTTGCATTATATCATGAGAGTCTCAATCATTCTAACCACTTAATCATTCTACACCAAAACATCCAGCAACAGCCAAACAACCCCTAAAAAGGTGCAACTCTAACTGTACATTAAAAAAACAATAAAAAACATTTTTAATAATAAAATAGTATATTTATTATTATACTATTATATTAATGTATTAAACAATTAATCTATATTTAGAATTTGAAAAAAATTGAATAAAATATTAGTATATATATATATTTTAAAGGCCAACTTTATTGACCTCAAAATATAGAGATCAATATTTTGGATCTCCATTTTTGATGTCTTAGTGTTGGTTGGAAATGAAAACACCTTCATTTTTATTTTTTGGTGTTGTTAGTATTGGGTTGGAGATGGTCTGAGAAGCTTCATTTGAGATCCTTAAAATTGTGATAACCTCCCGTGCATCATATGCTATTTCATATTATTTTTTTCATCTATACAAAGCCGTTCTTGATAGAGGACGGTCTGGCCCAGGGCCCACAAGAAGTAGAGGCCCAATTGTTTTAGAATATAGTATTATAGTCGTAGTTAAAAATTTTAGTAAATAAAAGAAATAAATTTTTTAATATCTAATAAGATCAGAAAAGAATGGTCGCTCATTTTTTAAAGATCCAAACATGTATTAATTAATTATATTGAAAATAAAATATGTAAAAACTAAAAAGTTAATTGGTCGCTCATTTTATAGTTTTGTTTATTGTTTCTCTAAATATTTTATCTTCAAACTATTTGCCTTTAAAATCTTGATATTTTCATCGTCATTCATCTTTTATGAACTCTTTTGATTATTTCATTCGCATGAATTCTATTTTGGTATTAGAATATAGTAGATTTCTTGTTATTAACTAAAAAAACTCAAACCTTTTAAAAAATTACCAACTATATGAGACAATCCAACCTATATCCGTATTTAGAATTTCAAAACTACTTTTATTTTCTCATACATTACTGACTTCTTATTACCTAATATTTAATAGATGAATTTTAAGTAATCTTCTATCTACAAAACAAGAATAAAATCTTAAACTATAACTAATATGATCTTTTGATTCTAAGATTGATGGTTTCGAAAAAGTTTGATTTAATCTTAAAAGTTTAAAACTGTTATGAAAAACTTTGATTTGTGATGAGAAGGAAACCCAACTGATTTGTATTATTTTACATAGAGTGTTACTTAGAATAGTTAACATTGTAACCACAAATGATGTCAATCTATTTATTAAAGGTATATTATAAGTTTTTTTTATGGTGAAAAGGAGGTGGATGTTATGTAAATGATATGATAAATAATATTAATTTAAAAATAGTAATGATTAATTTTACGTCTAAAAATACATTTATATAAATTATTAGTATTTCTTTAATTCAATTTTACAGTATATTAAATATTTTTTTCGTACTTATCGATGATATTTTTTATATCTTATCTAAAAACAGGCCTGCATCAATAATTATAATTTAATATATTAATTAATATGTGTTTTATTTGACAACATGTTTATTTTATATATATTTAGTTAATATCTTAAACATATTTTATTAAAAATAAAAAAATTAACATTATATATTTACAAAATTGCCCAGACCTTACAGGCAAGATGTCGGTTAAAATGCTGGCAACTTTCTGCCCTTTCCTAAAATCTTGATCTTGTTGCTTTTTTCCACAGGCATTATTAATAAATAAAACCGCCATAAAACATTATTCTGTCATAAATTATTATTTTTTGAAAAAATAAATATTTATAAAAGATAATTTTAATACAGTTTATTTTAAATTGGTCAAAAACATCCTTTTTTTTTTCAATTTTATTTTGTTTAAATTTAGGAATTATTAGAAGACAATTGTGATCTAAAATGTCATAACCGGATTCCGGTTATATAATTTGGGGTGGTCTTGAAAGTTAATTTTTTTTATTAACCTGGATATCCAACCCACTATGCGAACCGACTAATCTCAGGACGACCATCTGCTTTACAGATAGTCCGGAGTCACCGCATTTGAACTTCCGTGGCCACAAGGGGATTTTTATTTCTCCTTGAATGTGAACATAAGACTTCCTGGTACTTTTGATCTTTGAAGTCAAGCTCAAACCAATCAGGCATAACCCTTGTAAATTATTTAATTTATTTATGTGTGATTACTTGTTTATTAAATTCCACCGCTTTAAATTTTTATGTGCATAAGTTATGTATTATACCTCATGGGGGAATGTGAGAATTGAGTTTTAAAATATTAAAAACTCCATCGTCTATGTTTTGGCATATAAAAAATAAGAAGATAAGATTTATCTTATCCATCTATTCTGTTTTGGGAAAAAGAAAGGAAAATGAGAGAAAATTTGTTGTGTGTGAAAGATTGCATGAAATTGTTAAAAGAGAAGTTGATTCTGTAATTATATTTGGAAATTATTTGTTGTGAGATTCATTTTTGTATACGTACATATAAGATGAGTTTTGTTATTAAAATCTTATATGTTTAGTATTTGAAATACTTGAACAGGTTGGTGTTTATGTGGAAGAAAGACAACCCTGTTTTTTAAGTTGTTTTGAGTTGAGAAAGCTAAACTATTTTTGAAAGTTGTTTTGAGTTGATATTGAAACTAAGTTTAGAACTGTGAAAGTTCTTGATACAAATTTTCTGTGATAAAACTGTTTTGAGGCGATTCTTGGCAAAAATGACAGATTTAATTACGTTTTATGAGGGAATAAGGATGATATATCAAGAAGAGGTACCATGAAATAAGAATGACATATCAAGGAGATGTGTACCATGGGATACGAGTAACATATCAAGGAGAGGTGTACAATGTGATAAGGGTGGTAATTGTGAAATCTGAGTTTTGATCATAACTCTTGTTATCGCATCCATGAGATGCAATGATCTTAAGTTATCATTTCTGTGTGATGTGAAAACTTGGAATTATTGTTCTTATTGATATGATAACAATGATGTTGTGCGGATGAGAAAAATGGCCTATAGCCAAAGGTTTTAATTGCCTGTGTTTTAAATAAACAATGTTTAACTTTCATGTTTTACCAGAAGGCTTCTGGTTATGTTAAAATCTAATTGTTTTCTTATATCTCATCTTCTTGTTTTCATAAGTTTTAATTTATAAGATTGCACAAAAGACTAAAGGTTAGGATACAAAGCTCGGATACAGAGCTTAGACTTGCCATTACATTTCCAGACACATAGTCTCTGCATAGTACATACAGAGTTTCTTGGTCAAAAATATAAATAACATTTGAACTTAGATTTCACATCATAACCAGAAGCCTTTAATATTTATTTACGTAATAATAATTAGATTGATTGATTAATATAGATAACAATTAACAAGTGGCTTATGATTAAGTGATAACAAATGATTGTATTTAATCCACACAAGAGTAATTCAAGAACTCTCGGGGGAATCATATTTGCCTCCTTTTTAGATTTCACAAACGATTTCTTCTAAACACTTCGACCCACAACTTATCATCATTCTCTTTTTTAACCCAATTGCAATATTTTTAAACAACACGAGTTAACATAAAATACTAATCAATTTTATTTAAATCTTTTTGGTCATCGATTGTGAAAAAATAACAAAAATAATTATATTATATTTTTATTAATTAATAAAAATAAGAGTGAATTATGGATTTGGTCTCTTTGGTATGTCAAAAATTATGGCTAGTGTTCCTAAACTCAATTAATTATGGATTTGGTCCCTGTAATATGTATTTTCTTATGACTAAGATCCTTGAGCTAAACGGTCGTCAACTAACATTTGTTAAC